CCACCCCACCTCTTATTATAAAAATACTAGGTACATAAAGAAAAAGTAACAGCACACTAAACCCAAAACAGAAAACATATTTTTCAGTGTTTAATTTTTTTTCCCTGCTGTGTGCTGTTATGCAGTTGAAAATGGTTATGCTCATCCTATATTTTGCTTCCTTTGAATACTTTGTTTAAATGCTCAAAAAATGGGAGAAAAAGGTCAAGAAATGACACATTCCCAAAAAGGAATCGTATATAGTGTTTCAGAGATTCTGAGAATAGGAAAAACATGTTTCATATGTTCAAAGACAAGGCAGACTAGTACCTGAATATTGGTCTGCCATCCGTATGTTTCCTTTAGGGGGTGTGCCCTGATGGGAGAACTCAGCACAGTATGTTACCACCACCACCACCACCACCCCCTCACCCCCGTAAGCAGAGGCTCGGGGGCTTCCCATCACTGTTCCCACAGTGGTGTTTGCATCTCTGAACCAGGAATCCCTCTTGGGACATCCTGGAGCCTGGTTCCTATGCCTTACAATCAACAAACGCAGGTGGGTTGACTTGAAAAACTTATCATTTTAGGTATGTAACTGTTGTTGAGAATATACACAGCCAAATATGAGAGGGCTTCAAAAAGTTCATGGAAAAATCCCATTATCTTTTTAATTCCATTTTTCTACACACTTTCGGCACTTCCCCCGTGTACAGCAGTTCGATTGTTCTCCATGCACCATTCAGTAGCTGTGACAGCACCTATGACTTGGGGATCCATCTTGACCCTCCTCTGAGCTGCTCCTCCCCGTCGAACACACACCACGCCCCCCAGGGCTCCTAACTCACCTAAGATGCTGCTGTCATGAGTCCCGATGTCTAAGCGCTTGGCTAACCAAAAGCCCCAGAACCCACCAGGGCATCAGTGGAAGAAAAGACATAACAGTGTGCTTCTGTAGCGATGAAGCCTGGTAAACCCAGGACTGGGGTGAGTGTCTACATGGCAGAACTCAGAGAAAGCTAAAGAATAGACAGTTGTTTCCTTTACTTATCTCCAGCTAGGTGGTCTCATCCCATTCCCTACACAGACAAGTTAGTCTCTTGTAAATTATCTTTCAGGACAACTGCTTTCCTCACCATAAATACAAGCTTGAAGGACAACAACAACAGGAAGCAGAGGAAAATGCCAGTCTCTGGGGAACTGGAGCCCCAAAGAACTATGCTTGAGTAAATAGAAAGAAAATAGATGCCTGCTTGCAGAAAGCGTCTTTAGTGAATTGCTATGTATCTATGTCCTACGGCCAACTGACTAGGGTTTCTTTGTTTCAATTTTAATCAGGCTGCATATGAATTCCCCCAACACCTGGCCCACTAACCACCAGTTCCTTCAGGATGCTGGCTTGTCGGCCCGTCCACTGCTGTGTACACCTCTACCTGTCCTTCAGGAATGGCACTCACATGACAGTTTACAACAAGCATGCTGTTGTAACCCAATGTTACAACAACGACTGTGCCTTTCCTGATTCTTGGTAGATAAAGTCAGGACCTCTACTCACGGATCTGAACACAAGATGAGGCACACGGGGCTTCACCACAGAATGGTGGAACAAATAGATTTTTGTGTAAACACCACAAACACACTGCAACACTGTCACTATTTAAGATTCCATCAATTGGCTCCTGGTCCAGATTCTCATGGAATCCAGACTTTGTGGAGCCACAGAGACTGGATGAGCCCCCACTCGCTCTGCCCCTCACACACACAGGTATCTTCCTTTATCTGAATGGTTACAAAGCCGACCTACAGTATCAGCCACACAGGTGTCTCAGAGTTACCCTGGGACTCTAGCGGTGTGTGCACAGGGGAGTAAGTCTCTAGGGTATGTGAGTCATGTCCCTACGCCTCCTGACCCTCTCCTGCTTCTAACCGCGGGAAATACATATGCAAGAAAACGTCTGTCCTGAGCTCAGCGACCTGGACGTATGCTGATCACGCTGCTCCACCCTTACACTCAGGTGTTTTCAAACTTCCATCACCCACCCAACAGAAGCCCAGCGTCCCCTCAGACCGTGGGGCCCATCTTCCCCTCCCCTGTCTCTGCACAGAAGTGGGGCCATGCCATAGTGCCCTATTGTGACGGGCTTGTTTTTGCTCAGTATCATGTCTCCAAGGCTCCTCCACATGGGAGTACACACAGAACAACCTTTCTGTTTATCACTGTTCTTTTTAAATCGTGGTGAAAACAGCTGCGTCTGTGTGAACGTGCAAGAGTATACAGCAAGTGAGAGGATCTTTAAAACCAGATGAGGGGAGGATGTGAAAAGGAAAAGTACCAAAGAGCAAAGACATACAAGAGCAGCCTGGGGACACGAGAGGGCACAATCTCTCCTCTTGGTGGCGCTATAGAGACTGAAAAGGCCCAGGTTGACCCGGCTCCCTGGATTCAGGTTCTCTTGAGAGCCAGGGTGAAATCGCCCGGATTTTCCGGAATGAACACAATTCTCTCTCTAACTGCCTCTCTCCCTTTAATGAAAAGGGATCAGATAACTAAATTCTTCCCTCTCCAGTTCAAGAACCTGACTTGCAGCAGCTGCTCAAGGTTTCACCCAGAAGCTTTTAGCACATGGAACAGCTCTGCCTCACCAGGTGTTCTCTGTAGTTGTGTGTGGGGTTTTTTTTTGTTTTTAATTTAAGTTGGTAAACCGGTTCTGAAGAAATGTTCACAGAAGTACAGGCTTCTAGTTTTCAGTCTCCAGGTCAGAATCAACAGGAACGCAATTCTCCAGGGACCAGAGGGCGACAAAACCTGCAGAACTGCGCAGCCTGCCTGCTTTCAGCTGGGTGAGCGGCAAGCAGGGAGCAGAGCAGCGGATGGTCCCTGCCCAGACTCCCTCCCCTTGGTGAGTGCCTCATTAATTACGTCCCCATCAGGAGTGGCACGAGCTAAGCAGGTTTTCTTGGGCCCCGCCGTGGTTTTAAAGTAGAAGTACTGGAATATCAGAAATATTTTGAAAGCGATGTATCTATTTCCCTCAAAACGCCTCCTGACTTTCTGTGGAAGCCAAAGGAAAGAAAAGTGGAGTCTTTTCAAAAGGTCAAGGAGGATTTAGCAATGCTACGCTTAGCTCCTCCGGTGAGAGGCAATGGGTCAGGTGCACACCCTCAGATCTTGTTTTGTGCCAGTAATGAAAAGCAAATGTTGTTGTTGGTGTGTTTGTGAGGAATGGATATCTTAATTGTTTTCCTCTAAGAAAATACAGCATGTTGCGATACAAATGCAGTTCAGCGGATTTTGAGAGTCTTTACGTACGAAAAGGACAGCAGTTCAAACTCACCAGTCACGCTGAGGGAGAACGATTGGCAGTCTGCGGCCGTAAAGATGACCGCAGCTTGGGAACCCTGTGGGAACAGTTCCGCTCTGTCCTAGAGGGTTGCCAGGAGTAAGAACTGGCTTGATGGCAACGAGTTTGCTTTGTTAGGAAAACCTGACACAGAGCCCACATTGTTCATGTTTATTTCTGGTGGCAAAGGCTTGCTGGGGATGGGGAGGGAGAGGGGACTCTAGAGAGATTAGGGAGAAAACAAGAGGACACCCACACTTGGATGAATAATGTGCTTAGAAACAACTCCTTGGGAAACGTCTTTGTTTGGGAAAAATGTAATAAAATGTAAAAGCAGTTCCACTTTCTAACCACAGCATTAATAATGATTTCAATCACAAGGTATTTTATAGCATCTCTGGGAAGTCATAAATCTTCAGAGAATTATAGGTATAATCTTAAAAACATTATCCATTGCCTGAAAGCTATGAATTTAATTCTATGCTACTGTATACAAGGAGGCGTCCTGGTGTGGCGCCGTGGGTTAATGCGCTGGACAGCAAAGTTGGTTTGAATTGCCAGGTCGGCGGTTCAAGCACATCAGCTGCTCCTTGGTAACCCTATAGAAGGTGGCTATTAGTTGGAAACAACTCAACGGCACATAACAACAACAACAACATATACAAGGACATGGTGTGGCGCTGTAGGGTAAGAACTAGACTGCTAACCACCAAGTCAGTGGTTCAAACCCACTAGGTACTTCTTGCAAACCCTATACTGGGTCACTGAGACAGCACTTAATAATAGCAATATATATTGTTGTTGTTGTTGTTAAGTGCCATGGAGTCAGTTCTGACTCATAGTGACCCTGCACAGGGTTTCCGAGGCTGCAAATCTTTACGGGAGCAGAAAGCCTCATCTTTCTCCCACGTAACAGCTGGTAGTTTCGAACTGCCGACCTTGAGGTTAGCAGCCCGATTCATAACCACTACGCTACCAGGCTCCTTAGCAATATATGAGGAGACTTCAAATTGGTGCCAAATAGTGAGACCACATGTTACGGAGTGCAGATGCTCCACACGATTTTCTGGGCCGTCACCTTTACAAAAACAGATCTCCAGGACTGGGTGGTTTCAAACCTTATTAAAAATATAAGACCTAAACAAAACAAAACCCACTGCCACCGAGTAGAGTCCAACATCTACTGACCCTATAAAGGGTTTCTGAGGCTCTAAATCTTTATAGGAGCACACAACCTCATCTTTCTCCCATAGAGCGGCTGGTGCGTTTGAACCGCTGACTTTGTGGTTAGGAGCTCAATGCCTAGCCCACAGCATCTCTGGGCTCCTTCCAGATAAGGAATTTAAGAACAGAAAGTACAGGGAAAAAGCCTTTACAATCCTCTCACTAAGGACAAATGCCTCCCCCTCCCCTCGCTGGCTAGAATCATTCGTGGTGTTTATGAGACATGAAGACACAGAACCGGGTCACTGTGGGAAAAGGTCTGGTCTAGGCAAACAACGCGCCTGGCTGCTCCACAAACAGGCGATGGCAGCTCTCCCTTATTCAGGATTCAAATAAATAAATGAGTATCTTAAATACACTGCTCTGTGGAGGGAACAAAAAGGTTCCCAAATCCGTCAGAACTGCTCTTCTTATGAGTGGCACATTCTCCACACTTAGAAATACAGCTACATACCCAGTTCTTGTAAACAGATTCTCATGCTTACCAATGAGTCTGATTAGAGTCACAGAGAAACACAGCTCAGCAGGAACTGAGGCTAGGCCATGGTGATAAAACTGAAAATGGTGCTCCTCCCTAAAAGGGAAAAAAAATTGCCGGGCCCCCAAAGAGTTTACTCCTCTGGGCATTTTCATATTACTGGCTAGATGTGAGCTAAAGCAACAGTCAGAACTATTTATAATCAGCAGCAGTGGTGTCTCCAAAGGCTTCATTTACAGAGCTGACCTGCCTGCCTGGAAAAGCTTGGGGTGAGACGGTGGGAGACAGCTCCCGCTCAGCAGGACAGCCGGCCACATCTGCTTCTAACTTCAGTGAACCTTAGTCAGAAGGAAGAGTTCGCCCGGCACTGTGAAAACTGCTCTAAACAAAGTCTGAGCACTTAACCAAGTTCATGTGCCCGACTCTACAGAAAGGAGGGCACACTGTCCAGGGTCCTGAAGGACAATGAGCTTACCCGTGAGATTTGTCTCCACTAATTATCACAGACCACTGAAAATATCCACTGGTCTAGGTTGTTGGTGAAGCGGGGCCACCTTAGTTCCGTGATATCAGAATGTTTTATTTTGACGATAAGCTTAAAATGAAAACCAAGACAAATTAAAAGCTTCCCAAACGCCTTCCATTGTGGCACTGAACCATAAGATTGGTCTGAACCACAAGGGCGGTGGTTCAAACTCATCAGCCACCCCTTGGAAACTCTATACAGGGTCACTATGAGTCGGAACCGACTCGATGACACGTAACAACAACATCAACAACGCTAAAGCTCTCATACAAGAGGAGATGGAACAGAACACACCTACTCCTCACTTATGGACTCATCTCTGTATCTAACACTTGATGTTTGACAATAAAAATCTACCATGCCACTGTTGTGTGTACTAATCACATAGAAACCCTGAGGTGTGGGGTCCGAGTCATACTAGCTGTGAGGGTTGAGGGTACAGGTCAGTCTGGCTGGCTTGAGTGTCAGTGGTTTGACAGTTAAGCACTGGAAGTAACTTGGCAGCCACGTAAGGACATAGCCAACCCTCCGTAATGTTTCACGTTAACTATCTAGTCGGAACCAGGTTTCTGAAAGGGAAGTAATTAAAAGCTTTAATTTCACTTCATTTTAAGACAGAGTTTTCTTCCTAATGAACTGCATTTCTGATCGGCCTTTCTGTTTGTTTTAGAAGTGACCAGATATAAAATGTATTAATTATAATAATGGTTTTGTGTTCATCAAGATAAACGATGATGTAATTTATGACTTGATCTTAAAAACTGGATGCAGAGGTAAACTATGGAGTCCTGGTGTTGCGCTGTAGGATAGGCACTGGCCTGCTTTGTGGTTCAGACTTCTAGGAAACCCTACACAGGGTCACTCACGAGTTGGAACTGACTCACCAGCATAGTACAATAACGACAACCAGCTAAATTATAAAATGGAGCCTCTTAACCTAAGCGCGAAATAATCAACAAATATTTACTGAGCCAGCTTTGAAGAGTGGTAACCTCTGGGCAAACTGTAGACTTTAAACAAATAGACTCTACCTCCATCAAGTACTGGGGAGAAGTTACAACACCCTGAAATCTATCTGTTGTTCTTTCAGGAAACTCCAAAGAAAGCAGTCCACACTATGGTAAGAAGGAGGCGCTGGGAGCGGGCACCATGAGCCAGCTGCGAGCCACCAAGTCTGGACTTTTCGTGGGTGCAGCCCTCTGCATCATCCTCTTTCTGTATTTAAGGGATCCAGCTCCTGAGGACCCAGAAGAGGAACCCACCTACCCAGAAGCAGTGGAGTGTGGCTTCTACCCAGATGAACTGTGCTCAGCTTTATTTGAAGGCAAGGGGGCAGCCCCCTACATTGCAAAATTCTGTAAAAACCCTCATCGATCTGAAATACTCACACATTTATACACCCCGGGAAACTGCTCCATGATTTCCCAGGGGTTACGGTTCATAACCAGACCCCTGTCTGCAGAAGAGGGCAATTTCTCCTTGGCCTATATTTTGACCATTCAGAGGGAGCTGATCATGTTTGTGCGGCTTCTCAGGGCAATTTATGCACCTCAAAATGTTTACTGTATCCATGTTGACGAAAAGGCCTCAAAGAAGTTTAAGACTGCAGTGCAAACTCTGGCTAACTGCTTTGAGAACATTTTTATTTCGTCAAAGGTTGCTTCTGCTGGCTTTACAAGACTACAGGCTGACATTTATTGCATGAAAGATCTAGTCCGTTCCAAATTTCAATGGAACTATGTCATTAATCTTTGTGGACAGGATTTTCCAATCAAAACCAACAAGGAGATCATACACTACCTCAGAAGCAAATGGAATGGTAAAAACATCACTCCTGGCGCAATCCAGCCGCCAGCGAGCCCTAGAGCCAACTCAAATCAAAGCCACTCCAAATTCACCCCCGAATCAAATATCTATATCTCTCCAAATAGAAGATTCAAGGAGGCACCCCCCCACAACTTACCAATCTACTTCGGGAGTGCTCACTATGCACTGACAAGGAAGTTTGTTGAGTTTGTCCTGACGGATGTCCGGGCAAAAGACCTGCTTCAATGGAGCAGAGGGATCCACAGTCCAGAGCAACATTACTGGGTGACCCTGAACCGAGTGAAAGGTAGGAACAATCCAGAAACAAGGGCGTCCGGTCAGGTCAGTAATGGGTGGTTTTAACTCCTAACTGAAGCTTCTTTGGATTCCTGCTCAGTAAATTGCTCCACGTTTTGCAAAGCCTTCCTCTTGGGAAGAACAAAGGAGGTGTTTCGTGCCTTCAGAGTTTGGAAGTTAGCAGGGAACCCTGTTTCCCCCCAACCTGCTGAAGACAGGCTAGCATGTGGTAACTCCTCACACTGAGTCTTTTGAACATTCTGAGCACACGTTTCTGGAAAGTTGGTTTACTTATTAGCAAATATTACTGGATGCCTGCTAGTACTGGCCATCACACTAAGAGATCTTTACAGTGTTGTTGTTGTGAAGTGCCGTCGAGTTGGTTCTGATCCATTGTGACCCTGTATAGGGTTTCCAAGGAGTGACTGGTGAACTTGAACCACCGACCTTACAATTCAAATGATGTTGCGGTCTGACGCATTAGACCACAGCGCCACACCAGAACCTGTTGTTTTTGTGGCAATGTGTGCACGGGTGTTATGACTCACAGTGACCCTGTATAGGGTTTCCTTATGGGAACAGGAAGAGCAGAAAGCCTCATCTTTCTCCTGAGGAGAGGCTAGTGGGTTTGAACTGCTGACTTTGTGGTGAGCAGCACAGTGCTTTACCCTACAGCACCACCAGCATTCCCACTGCCTCTCTGACAGGGAGAGAAAACTCTGATGGGTGTCATTAAGTGGGATTAAGTTGCTTCTCTTTGTGTAAGATTGATTGGTAAGGAAATGTGGTTTTAAGCTTGAAAACTAAACTCCTCAGTCCAAAATTTGGCAGAAATCTGTGGAGGACTTTTTACAATCTCTTATAGCCACTGATAATCCAATTTTCAAACCACAGGGCAGTTTTCGAGAAAAACACAATCCTCCCCGCCAAAAAGACCTTTGCAAACACATAGTAAATGAAATGGAGGAACAGAATTGGCAACTTCTAACCTGGCCAACCCTTCGGCCAGGGCCAGGGGCCGCTCCACCCTTGTCCAGTGCGTTAGTCTTTGCTCAGACCAGACTGAGCTACACATTTCTGAAAAGGTTGGATTTTCCTGCCCACCATCTTTCTGGGTGAAACAGAGATGCCACGTCTCAATGCCCTCGTCTGGAGCCCACCCATCTGCCTGTTCTGTTCCCTGCAGATGCCCCAGGAGCGACACCGAACGCTGGCTGGGAAGGAGACGTCCGTGCCATTAAGTGGAAACACGAGGAAGGAAAAGCTCATGATGGGTGCAAAGGTAAACTCCAAGTCAGTACCAGACAAACACTACACAGCCACCACACCACCACCTGAGTCACTCTGAGAGGACAGATCCTCTTGCCCTGGGTCAAAGGAATCTGGAGTTAGGGGTGATTTGATTCACACTGGTGTAGACAAAGCAAAACAACAACACTCCCCCCCCGCCCCCCACAATTTTTTAAAACTGAAGACTAACATCCACAGAGCCAAGTGTATACCAGCTGATACATTGTCACAAAGTCAACACAAAACTGGGCTGTAGCTTTTGATTAAATCTGAGCCGGGGATCTCCTGTCAGCGCTCTCTCAGAAAGAAAACTGAGTAAGGAACATGGGACATGCATTCTGAGCAGAGGCCAGCCCGTGGGCAACTGGCCCTTGTTTGTGTAAATACAGTTTTATTGAAAACAGCCACACCCATTCGTTTACGCAAAACTGAGGAGAGTGTGGCCTGCAACACCAACACTGCTTACTTGCTGGTCCTTGACAGGAAGTGCTGACTACCTGCTCAGAGCGGCAGTCCTCACACTGGCTCTGCTTGCATGCCCCCGGAAGAGTCAGAATTTTTTTTTTTTAATATAAGTTTAATTTCCACAAAGGAATATAATTCAACCTACTCTCAATTGTATGTTGTTGTTATGTGCCATCGAGTTGGTTCTGACTCATAGCGACCCTGTACAGGGTTTCCGAGGCTGTACATCTTTGCAGGAGTAGACAGCCTCATCTTTCTCCTGTGGAGGAGCTGGTGGGCTCGAACCGCTGACCCTGTGGTTCACAGTCCAATGCTTATCCTACAGGGACACCTACTCTCAAGGGCATGTGGGTAGTGAAGAGTTTTTCATTAGAATCTCAGGAGCAGCAGATCTGAGCTCACTGCACTGACAGAAAACATCTGCCCTCTAACCCAGTTGGCAAAAGCAGTCTCGGGCTCAGACCAATTGGATGTAGGCAGAGAGACTTTCCCTCTGAGAGGGCAGTCCTGTGTAGAGCCCATAGTCCTGTGCTCTGGGAGAGCTTTTGAAAGGACCATGGAGAGAACCAACGTTACAGGGCAGGGGAATCATGACACTGTGGCTTAAGTTTTGGGCTATGAGTTGCAAAGTCACTGGTTCAAACTCACCAGCCAATCCACGGGTGGGAGACCAGGCTGTGTGCTCCAGTAAAGGTTTAAGGTCTCGGAAAACCCTGTGCAGGGTCGCTATGAGTCACAGTTGACTCAGTGGCAGTGGGTTTGTGTAAATAAAGTTTTAGACGCCAAGCTCTAGGAACCCTGGTGGTGCAGTGGTTAAATGCTCGGCTGCTAACTGAAAAGTCGGCAGTTCAAACCCTGCAGGTGCTCTGAGGAAAAACACGGGGCAGTTGGTCTGCGTACAGTTTTGCAGCCTTGGAAACTCTATGGACAGCCCTGCCCTATCCTACTGGGCCAAGGAGTCGGAATTGACTCGGCAGCAACTGGCTTGGGTTTTCACTCTGACCTTCCAGGCTATCTGTCCCCTGCCAATTCTCCGGCACAACAGCACAGAGATACAAGGACCCCTTTGCCCAGTGCATTGGGACAAGGTCCTCAGGTGTGAATCGACTGGATATACAGAACAGCCTCTGTCAGCCTAGTTTTCAAGCTATTGAAAACACTGACCTAACGTGAACAGATTCTAGATGAATAAAAACTACCAAATACCAGGGAAGTCCAAAGCCTAGTGATTCCATTCACTGTGTGCCCAGCCGCCCTCTCCCGGCAGGCATGCTGAGGGCTGGGACGGTTTTCTAGGAAAGTTTTTAAAAAGCAAGACAGATATGATCTGTTTGGGTACCCACTCCCTCAGTAGAAAGGGGGCAGTTTAAACACTGATTAGCAAACCCCCTTAGTCCTTTCTTTACAAAGTGGGTGACGCACACACACTGGAGCTACTGCTGTTATTAGGTACTGTGGAGTCAGTCCCCACTCATAGTGACCCTGTGCACAACGG